CATAACGGAACTAGTTTCGCGAAATTTTGCTACTAACTCGTGAACAATTTTGCCATAAAGGTGTTTGTCAGGATGACGTTCATTGAATATCTGCGCAGCCCGATTGCCACATTCATTATTTTTAAAATAAAGTTCGATTATTTCCACTCTTTCTGCAAGTGAGTACACTATAATTGTTAAAAAGTTTAACGATATTGCAAAGAACTTCAACCGCTTCAACGCACAAGTCACAGAACAGCTATCTAGCAACTACCGCACCTGATCGTTCAACCTTCATCGAAGGAATTTATCCTTATCGTTACTCTGATAAATGTTTAAATAAAATTTTCAAATTTCAATCCTTCATATTTTCTCTCAATGACTCGACCGATTTTCAAAAACGAAGCGGAAAGTATAGAGAATAGAAAGCTCTTTTCATTGCGGTACCACTTGACCCCTTCCCATTTTAAAAAAATTGGGGTATGACACCCCGCTTAGAGGTTGAAGATTTTGCAATCATTTTGGGGCAAAAGTTGTCCTCCTCTCACAAACAAAATTGACGTGTTTTGAATTTTCTCTGAAAAATTACCCTGGCCGTTATGCATTGCGGAAAGTTTTCGATGGGCCACCCTGTATCTAAATATTAGATAGATATTTTATATCTAAAAAATGACAATAATCAACTTTGTATTATTTATTTACGAAAAATTATATAATATCAAAATAGTACTATTATTGTTTCGTATTCATTAGGTGTTGTAGTTTTGCTTTTATAAGTGGTACTGTTCGGTCAATCCCATTTTTTTATATAAAATCCTTTATAGATTTGCCCGAAGGGTAAACTCCATTTGGAATAGTGTTTTTAAATGTGTTTTTAATAGATCTATTTCACTTTGCGACCAACCTAAAAAAATATAATATAAAAAATTGTTACTGCAGTGTTCAACTTAAAAAGCGCTTGAATATTGTTTTTTGAAATACTCCTTTTATATTTGATTCGATATGTTTATGTTCCCATACATCTAGTTAGTTAGTAGGATTTCCACCAAGTATCTAAATCAATTAATTTTTTATAATTTCTTTTTTGATGGATGTTCTAGTTCAGAAAACAAGTTTTTCAAAATTGTAATTATTCATTGGAAATGGAACATAAAATATACATCCTTACCTCGCTTAATATGTTTCCGTTTTTTATGCACCGCATCTTCGATAGAGCTGGGAATATTTACATTCAATGGTGTGGCTTCATCTTCTACTTGATTAGAATCATTAGAATCTAAAAAATAGTTACAAACATTTGGTTGTAATGTCGATATATTGTACAGGCTCTTCCATTTTCGCGGCCTCGCTAGATATCTTCGTCCTTGTAAAGGATTCTCTCTATCTTTACAACATATTGATAGCTAATTGTAATTTTACTTTTTGAATAGTATTGATCAAATTGGTTCAAATTTATTGTTTTGTTAAATTATGTAGTTAATAATATATTTTGTATAATGAATATTATATAAGTGAATAAATTCATTGCACGTTACAGAGTACGTGTAAAAGTAGAGAGTATTTAAGTACAGTGCGAATACTTGTGTAATATTTAAGTAATCATAGCAAAAGTCTGACAATGCCACTGGCTTTTATGTAAAGAAAATATAGGAACCTGGTTTTAGCTATTCCGTAGGTTGAAGGATAACTATTATTATTAATAATTCCATCCTTTATCTCACAAAATAAGACTATTAGGACAATTTTGATTATGTTATATTATAATTATTTTAATTTTCACAATATAGATATCCGGAAAGAACAGTGAAAATGGGGCAGTCTGTATATTGTCTAACGTAAAAAAATAATTTACGAAGAACTTTATTTGTGTCTAAATCAGTTTTTGCATCACTCGATTGTTGTTTTTTGGACGAATATAAATTATCTGAAATATAAAACGAAAGTATCTATCGTTTCATATGTATTTTGATAAGATGAAACATACCATTATTTTCTTCAGGAAATTCGGTGTTTATTTCTATATCATTAAGAGACTTTCCTTTATATTCGAGTGGTAATTTTCCCTTTTCCATTAGCAATAATAATTTGGAAACTTTGGGGGTTTGATATATACCTATGGGCAATCTAAAAAAACAAATGAAAACATTTTACAAAAAAAGCACTTATGCCCAATTGCACCGTTTGTATAAACTTTGTTTAAAGGCTAAACAGTGATTAACTATAATAAAATATTATATAGTTAATCACTGATAAACGAGATTTGATATGCTAGTATATGACATAAATTAGGATTGATTGACGTATTCAATTGTTTTTGGTCACTTCCTGAAAAGTTGTAGTTATTTCCGGTGAAACAGGGAGTGATAAAAACAATTGAATATGTCAATCAATCCAAATTTATGTCACCAAATCTAGTTTTTTTATCTGAAAAAAACAAAAAAGTTATAGGGGTGAGCCACTTTTTAGACGCACCCGGTATATGACGTTATTGCACTTTACTAATGGTCCAAATGCTTTTTATTTATACTTACTCATAAAAGTCCCCATGGGTTTTTTTCAGTATAGCCCATAAATTTGCAAAACTGCTTAGTTTCGTCTTTGGTCAAATTAAGTATTTGGGTAACTGTGGCGATGTGCTTTCGTAATTTGTTGCTGGTAATAGCATCTGGTCGTTGCAAATCAAATTCTGGGATCAAAATGACGACAGCTCTTGAACCTTTGCCACTATTCACCACCCTTTTATATTTTTCAGTTAGTGCTTTCTCATACTCCGTCAAAGCATCTTCAAAATCTTCAGAATTGGAAGACGTATCTCTGGAATAGTCTTTGATTTTTAAGTATTGGACGTCCCCTATTCTTCTTCTATTGAAAAGAATAAGTAATACTAATGTATAATTTACCAGAAGCTTATATATTTCAATGTCATCTTCATTGTTATTAAATTTTTATACACAGTCTGATGCAATTTTAATAACACCCTCTCTGAATATTTTTATATCACTTAGGGCCAATTCTACAATTCAAGTATAAACCTAGAATAAGCTATACCTTAGAAAACTGCTCATTATTGCGTTCTACAATACAACCGATAAATTTATCTGAAGTATAAACCTGGTGTAAGTTATCTCTTCCAGTTTGATGGTATATCCCAGGAATAAGTTTATACTGCCTTCCTATTGGTTGGTGCCATTCCGTTTCCTCACGTCATTTTCCGGAAAAAACTTAACCTAACTTGCTTGTTTTGTTTAAGAGACTGTATTTTTTTGTTAAATTCGGTACGTTCATCAAATATTTAAATGGATCCTTTCAATTTGCCTAATAATTTTGAATCTGATGATGAAATTGAGGAGTTCAGATTATACAGGAATCCTAAAGTGTTCAAAGTCAGGTAATAGTCAGGAATTTACAATTTTATACGTAGAGTTTCTAACTAAAAAATATGTTTTAGGCCCAATTATTTTGAAGAATATGATGAACTAGAATTTTTTAAGCGTTTTCGGTTGCAGAAACAGACCTGTGCTATGCTGTTAGGTTTAATTCGAGATGAAATAACATCAGCAACAGATCGCAATAATGCCATACACCCTGAGACAAAAATTTTTCTAACTTTGCGGTTTTATGCTACAGGTTGTATGCTACTTACCACAGGTGATTTCACAGGGGTAAGCAAAACATCTGCCTGTGTCATTGTGACTCAGGTCACAGAGGCTATTGCTTCTTTGCGACCAAGATTTGTTAAATTACCAGAGGGAGAAATGGAGTGTCAGAGGATAAAAGAAGAATTTTATTCAATTGCAAGGTTTCCTAAAGTTATTGGTACTATTGATTGTACCCATGTACGCATTATTTCACCGGGTGGTGATCAAGCGGAGAGGTATAGAAATAGAAAAGGGTACTTTTCATGGAATGTTCAAACAGTTTGTGATGCTCGTTTAAGGATAATGGACATTGTTGCTCGCTGGCCTGGCTCTTCCCATGATCAGACTATTTATAATAATAGCAGACTTAAAGGAACATTGGAAAGTGGAAGATTTGGAACATCGGTGCTTTTGGGTGACAGTGGTTATGGCAACACCAACTTTTTAATCACACCTTTGGAACATCCAAATACTCGAGCAGAAGCTCTATTTAATGAATCCCACATTCGTACACGTAACTGTGTGGAAAGGTCATATGGGGTATGGAAAAGAAGATTTCCCATTTTATCTTTAGGGATGCGTGTATCATTGGACCATTCAAAGGCAATAATAGTAGCAACTGCAGTTCTACATAATTTGGCAATTGAGGAACATGAAGAAGAACCACCTCATGAAATGGACGTTCAAGAAGTAGACATACCAGTACCTGTTGCAAATGTAGGTATGGTTCGAGAACAAAACCGAATGCGGGCATCCCTCATTCTCAACCATTTTTCAAATTTATGAAAACTATATATTCTTTTTGTAATATAAACACATTTTTATATGACACGCATGGCCTTTTCTTTAACCTTAAGCATCATTTCTAATTTTCTCTAAAACGGTATGGAAATTTGGAAAAGTATAAACAGGATTAACCATTTTAGAACAAGCAAAATTTTTATGAAGAATGCATTTTTCTTAAAATGCCAATAATAAAAAAGGCTTTCCTTTTGTAAAGACAATCCAGGGACATACTGTATTAATTTACTAATTTTCAGAATAGGCACTACAATGAATTTGAAGTTTCTTCTGGCTTTGTAACATATTTAAATTTTAAAAAGTATACTTTAATTTTGATACCTATTATAGAAACATTTGCGGAAGAATATTATTTTTTTTATATTCTTCCGTGATAGGCTATATGAATAGAATATATAGGCTATATAGAATAAATAAATATACGAAACAATTCTTTTACTTAAATAGAAGTTAGTTTTTATTTTTTAATTCAGCTAACAATATATCTATTTCTAACTTGTGCTTTTCAGCAATATTTATTTTTTTTTGTTCTGCTTCCTCCCTTAATATTTTGATCTGTGCCTCAATCAGGCCTTTTTCTGCTCCCTCTCTTCTTGCAGAACCTGAGTTTGTAACTCTACAAGGGCAATTTTTTTCTTCAGTAATTCCTCTTGAAGTGTTTCAAAATGAACTGCCCTTTTATTTTTTAATTTGGAACCAATGGATTCCACTTTACTAACCCTCCTCCTTTTTTTGACATCATTAGAGCCTAAAAAAATATTATTAGTACATAAAACTAATTTAATGACATACAAGTATATTATCGTACAGCATGGGGTTACTCCAATAGTTTTTGTCACCTGTTCATTCGTGTCTTCTAAATCAGTATTATTTGGTTCTGCAAGGAGAATAATATTCATTTAGTAAACCCTTAACAATCAGTTATGAAAATTCTTACCAGGAACTGTCAACTCGATACTTTTCGGCTGCCTCAACTGCTGTGGATTCCACGTCTGCCAACTGCTCAAGCTTATCTAAAATTATTTATGCACTTAAAGAGACATTTTAAATTCAATTACTTACAATTTCAGCTGCATCAGAACTGTCTTTATCTATAGTTATTTCCTCTGCTGCTATATCTTCATTACTTATTACTTCAGTAGGTACAATAGGGACCTGAGAGGAAATGCTGCTAGAGTCTTCAGTGAGTAGCTTATTACTACTGTTAGGTAAATCTAGAATTAAAAAATATAAATGTCATTATAACAAGTTTTTAGTTATGGAAGTAACTAATATTACCAAAATTGCAATCAAACTTAGAACAAGTGCCAGACATCCCAATCGAACTACAGCCAAAATACGTTTCATATAGCCTGACATTTTAAAGTCAGAACTTCCTGGTCCCCCACCTGTCTTATATAAACTTTGTTTGTACTCTCCATATTCCTTTTTGGTGGTTTTTTTAGAGAATCCCACTTGCTACGTAGCATTTTAGAAGTTCGTGCTGTTGCACACATCGAATTAAATTTAGTCTCAATCTTCTTCCATTCTAGCTCTTTTCTGCTGTTGTTAATCGTATCTGTCTTCTTGCATTCTATAAAATAAGTAATATGAAAATACAATTCCAAAGGATGTCCGGTATACCGGATGTCCTTTATAAAAAAATCAATATGCTGCACTTGCCTACAATAAGCTGAGATTCCTCCACTAAGCTCAGTAAAACTTCAGTCTCGTCGGCTGTAAAATTATTACACCGTTTTTTCTCCATACTTATATTAGCTTTCGCTCGCAAACCACACACTCAAGAAACAAAAATGAAATGAAACCGCTACTCTGACCGCTAAAGATAAAGAACTACCCATGAAAACCACTAAAACGTTACCACAAAACATCCCCCTTTAGAACTTCGTCTGTCATGTTAAGGAATGAAAGTAAATAATAAAGCGCCTCTCGTATTTGTTCGCACTCAAAAAATTTCAATTAATGCCTGTATATATTTTTTAAATTTACATTTTTTTAATCGAAAAGTAATATATTACATTTAAATGGAATATATTACATAACAATTATGTCAATTACAGGATTACAAGCTTGTTTTCTAACATTTTTTAAATAAAACGAATTATAAAATTTCAATATATGTATATTTGTCGTAGATATGAAAAAAGTGAAATATAAAATGGACAAACGCTTACTTACATTGCAATAAAACTTCCACTTTTAGTTTTGCAATCTAAACGCAATATTTCTATTTCACAAAGAAAAATATTCGACAACACTAAAATCACTGAAACTTCCGCGGCTGACAACGAAAACTGAAAAATATAACGGCACATTTTGTTTTGGACCTGCATATCAACATTACGCTGTACTATTATGTATTTGTTGTTGAAAAAATATAAAATATCTAATTATAACTTCTAAATTTTAATATTTTAACATGATTTTAACTACTTTTGACAATAACTAACTTTTTATCAAGATGACATTTTAGACGGCAACTGACATATATGTCAGAATATTTGAATCTTAAATATGTATGTAATATAATTTAAATTACTTTAATGCAACTTTATACTAAGAAAACATTTATACATTTACAAAATTCAACAAAGTCTAATAATATAGTTTAAAAACAATGAATACCGAATTAAAATTGAAAAAGTTAAGCGCGACCCCTTGTGTCAAAATTAGATGATTAAATTTTCGCAATTTTTACACCATTTGATGACCCGTGGCGCCTCTAGTGTTTGTTCGGGCGGTTGGTCTTTTACTCCCGCTTATGGCCATTAAAGAAAAAGTTCTAAAGGGGGATGTTTTGTGAACGTTACTGAAAACAGAGCTGAAAGTCAGGTTATAGTGTATAATACCACAGATAATATCCGCCTTTCAAAATGTCAAATGTCAAAATGCTAGTTCATTGGAACTACCAAGGAGATATACTTGGAATAACTATACCGATTATAAAAAACGATTGTAAAACCGACAACCAGTTATACTTGGAATAAATCGGGGTATAGGTTATCAGTAGAATAATTATACTGGCTTTTATACTTGCATTGTAGAATCGGGCATTACTAAAGGAATCAGAAGTGGCTTATTCCAACATTTTTCTTTATATCTTTATTTGCCAATGAAGATAATTCTGTATTCCATCGTGTATTAATAAGGTTTTTTAAATTTTTAACATCTTTTAGGCTCTTTTGCATTTCATCTTTACATTTATAAGTGAATCCTGGGCTCTTTTTTAAAATTAAATGATTAAGTTCGTCGCAAGCATATTTCAGAGAAGTGCCAATGTGCATAGCTAAACTAGGTGTAGAATATGATTTATTGTTGCCGTCATAACCGGAAATGTGTCTAGTTGCTGTTAATATATTATTGAAGTTTTTTGGATGTAAGACCTCTTTTAGAGAAATGGTTTCATTTTGTTTAATTTCTCGAAAGGCAATTAACAAGCGGGCAAGTTCACGCATTCTATTACGGCATGCATATTCCTTTCGCTCGCATTTCTGTTTTTTCAAATATGATTCGCCAAAGTGAACAATTAGTAAATCTTTCTTTGCTTCAAATGCAATTTCATCTCCTTTCATAATAGTAAATACCTGTAAAAATGTATAAATTCTTACCAAGTTAATTTAAAACTAATATCTAATTTAAAATAGAAAACATTAAAATATGTTCGGAAAATAGAGAATTTTCTAACTGATAGCATTATTTGGGATTTAGAACAATAAAATAATGTTAATATACGAAATTTAACTAAATTATTTGACAAAACTAAATACCTTCTTAAAACTGTTTGCAGCTTTATAAAAAATAAGTCATTGAAAAATTTACATATAAATGTCGAAATATATATAGGGTGCGTGTTAAAAGTGGCTCACCCCCCTATAACTTTTTTATTTTTTCAGATAGAAAAACGAGATTTGGTATCTTAGTATATGACATAAATTTGGATTGATTGACGTATTCAATTGTTTTTGATCACTTCCTGTTTCACCGGAAATGACTACAGATTTTGATTTTTAAATGACACCCTCGGTATTTTTTTACTTTATTCGATAGAAAATGACATTCTGAATAAAATGACATAATATGTCAACTTTTGACATTCTCGCTTAATAAAAAATCGTATTTTAAAATTCAATCTAGAGTGCCATGGCTGTGTAAAAACACTAATTCTTAATCAAGGTGCCTTGGAAAAATAGATTTGTCCGTCTAAAGTTTTTCGTGTCTTGTTCGGGCCGGTTAAAAGTTGCCCAAATCGTATTTTTTTTCAAATGGAACGAGGGTGGCTCATTAGCATAATTTAATACCATACACTTGGTATTTCGAGTCAAATTTTCGTTACGAACCGCAAGTTATAATTTGAATAAACCATATGCGAAATTGTC